ATGCTTGTATCTTTCTGCCTTGCAGCACCAAGACTAATTTTTAAAAATTCCAACCATCTGTGACTGATAATCAACTCTCATGTAACTTTTATAAAATAAAATGCCAGACTTTAGTTCTTTCTGTCAATTCTGTTGTCCTTACCCATGGCATCATTATAAAAATCTCTCTCTCTCTCTCTCTCTCTCTCTCTCTCTCTCTCTCTCTCTCTCTCTCTCTCTCTCCCCCCCCCCCCCCCCCCCCTTGAGATAGGGTATCTCTAAGTAATCCTGGCTGTTCTTGGACAATCAAGCTTACCTCAAACTCATAGAGATCTCCCTGCCTCTGCCTCTCAAATAATGGGAATAAAGGTATGTGTCATTATGCCTGGCAGAAATGTCTTGATGAAAAAGCTGTGGATGACTATGAGAGCTATGATTCTTCTATCCTAAGTAAGATAAGCTTGCAAGGCCTTGTTGTGTAGCTCAGGCTGGCCTCAAATTCATGACAATCCTCCTGTCTCCTCCTCTCAGGCACTAGTATTATATTTGTCACCATACTTAGCTGAGAAACTGTTTTTTTTTTTTTTTCCCAGGGAGCCAGATACTGAATCTGTTAGCTCCCCCTTTAGTACTATTTGTAGCAGCTACCCTGCTTTGCTATTGTAAGAAGAGCATTATCTCCATGTCTGTATCTAATAAAGTCATTTATGTGTATTGGTTAGATTTCATTCATGGTTAAGTTTGCCAACATCTTCTTAAACATACCCACTAAATGGGCTGACAATGTTCCTCATAAGAGTCATAGCTCATTTAACAAAAACCCTAACCCCAGGCACCCAGGCATGAGATGTTCCCCCCACCTCCCCACCCCTGTTTGATTTGTTTGTTAAGCTTGTCTAAAGACTCCCCAAACATTACAAGTTTCTGCTGTTTTCCTCAGGTTCCCCCACATAAGGAAGATAAGTCCCTATTTCTGAAGACACAATGTACATCAGACACAGGGCTCAGAGGTCCCTGAGCTGGAACTGACTTGAAAGCCTGCTCCCTGTGGACTAGTTTTCATGGTACCAGAAGGTGCCACACAAGCTTCCAAAGGAGGGAAGCAACCAAGAGCCCCCCATAGCTATGATGCCTGTGAACACAGCATATAGCAGCATGGCATGATAACCCGAGAGTGCCGTAGTGACATGGATACTTTGACAGTAGCCAACAGCTCTCTAATTGGACTTAAGACCTTTTGACCAGGAAAAAAAAAAAAAAAAAGCTCGATACTAGAAACCTAGTCAACCGCCCAGGGTTAGTGAAGTCATGAATGTTGGAGGAGAGCCTTCAAAGGCCACTTGACTAAACCATCAAGCACAGCCAGCCATAACACAGGTGTCCTCTGAGTTTGCAGCAGCCAATGGTCAACCTCCAGGATGTGTGTGGTTTATGTGACAAGGCAGCACAGTGGACTACATGAGGAATGTGCTGCACATCACTTCTTATGTTCTTCAGAGTAGCAGGAATATTTGCCACTTGTCCCCATCACCATTACTAAATGCAATTTTAGTTTTGGTTCTGCTGGGAATCAAGCTTGGGGTCTTAAATACAGTAACAGACATGAGACCATCGAACCACATTCCCAGTCTCCAAATGCAACATTATTTGATCTATTATTACAGCCATGGCAGGAGAGGGATGAGGTTGGGAAGATACAGGAATATGCCCCTTGCTAAGGTAGATATATTCTGCGGTCTCTCCCGCTGGTGCATTCCTAATCGCCTCATAAATGACGGAGCTTCTGGACTCATGGAACATACTCATCTGATTTTCTACACACACACACAGACACAGACACAGACACAGACAGACAGACACACACACACACACACACACACA